TGGCTTCTGCCGCGCGGGGCGCGGGGCGCTACAGTGGTAATCTTAATGCATACCTATACCCCTACCTTCCCAGTGAAATGCTCAAGGTCGTTTTCAATCTCTCTCCTTCAGCACCTTGACCAGGCTCCAAATAATGATCTTTCAGTGAGTAGAAAGTCACGCAACCACTGGATTGCTATTGATTGAAAGAGACCATGGAAACTACCTACTCTAGCTCTCCTATGTTAGAAATAGGGAGGCCCAGAGATACTGAGTAATTACCCAGGATTACACTGCAATTTAGTGTCAAAACTAGACATACAATATATCATGATGGAAATAATTGATTTGCCTGTCTCATCAATAACCAAAATATCCTCAAGTGGAAGGCAAATTTCAGGTAGCAGAGATCAAAAATATTTGTCATCTTATTTAAAATACACAACACTAGTTAGTTATGAATGTAGCTCCCATTATATTGACTGAGAAGGAGTAAACTAAACAACATCATGTATCTTAGAAGTAAGAAAGCTGGAAACCATTCATTCATTCATGTATCCCACAAATGATTACTGGAGGCTTCCTATATGCCAACCAGAGTGCTAAAGTTTAGTGGTAAGCAAATCAGATGTAGCCCCTGTCATCAAAGACATGGCATTTTAGAAGGAAAAACCAATATCATTTGAATTGTCCCAGAATTACATTTAATATTTCAATCATAGCAACTTCTATAAAGTGCTCTGAAAGCTTACAATATGGGAAATTGATAGAGAGTTAGGGATAAGGGTATGTTTCCCTAAGGAAACAACACTTTCACCAAGAGCTGAAGAGTGAATAGGATTGACCAGGTTAACAGAGAAGGGAAGAGCATTCTCGTCAAGGGAAACAGCATGTATGAAGGCCCAGGGGTGGGAGCATGGCAAGTACATGACCAGGAAAAATACAGTTGATTGGAATAAGAAGCTCAGAGATTCAGAAGCCTTTTGACTAATACATGTACCCTACCGCCTATGGCACAATTTTATATATACATATATATGTGTGTGTGTGTGTGTGTGTGTGTGCGTGTGTGTGTGTGTGTGTATAGGAGAGGTTTGTGCTAGAGCGGATATGTGCTTAGAGCACATGTGCTCACCAGAGAGACAGAAAGCAAGTAATTAACCCCCAGGGGGGATGGCCATGCCACAATCCCTTCTCCTCTCAAGATCTTGGGCATGCATGCACAAGCGCCCGGCGTGAATTTAATCCATTGGATCTGGGACTCAAACCATGGTTGACTTACATGGGAGTCCAGTGACATAGCCATTATGCCAACTGCTGGTTCCAGCACAATAATATATTAAGGGCTAATTAATGTTTGTTGGCCTTCTTTCTTATAGGTGTTCCCACTGATGGGAGGTGGAATTGCTGGTCAAGCTGGTCTTCATGCTCTGGAGGACATAAAACAAGACAAAGGCAGTGTAACAATCCACCTCCTCAAAATGGGGGCAACCCCTGCTCTGGCCCTGCTTCAGAAACCCTTAAATGTTAGGGAAGGAGAGCTTCTAGCAGGGAATACAGTTACGAGCTGCACACAGTAAGAACTTAGAACTCTGAAGAACACAGGTCAGCTCATCCTGAAACCACTTCCCACTTGGGGCCAGCTCAAGAGCAGAGGGTAGTATCATTCAAGCTGTTTAAAATGAAGATGTCAGTTTGTAAAATGCATGTTGATTTAGATAAATAGGAGTTAAACAAAAATTTGAGATTTCTTAAAGGCTTAAGTATCCTTATAATTCCCACTTCACTAACTCTGCAATTTTATTGTATTCACATTTACTCCCAGCCAGGAAAAGGGCTGGGAGTTATTCACAGTGAAATTCCACTAATTAGTAGTGAGTAGTGACTGGGCACATAGTAGGTGCCAAAGAATGAACCAATGGGAGGATATTGAGTTGTTCTTCCCGTGGCGAGTACATGTCATATTCAATGACAATAGCAGTTAGTGTTTATTGGATGGTTACTATGTGCCAGTCACCAATTCAGCATATTAATTCAGTCTATAACCATAACAACCTTATAAGGTAGATACTGGTAATAGCCCTATTAGACAAGAGGGGAAACTGAGACTTAGAAACAGTTAAGAAACTTGACCAGGAATACATTTCTAGAAAATGGCAGAGTTGGGCTGCAAACACAAGCTCTTGCATTTTAAACTCTTATCAGTGTTGCTCTTACCTCTCAGTGAATGAGTATCTGATTAACAAAGACACTGTCATGAATTAAAACACAGCAGAAAATACTGCATGTGTGTGTGTGTGTGTTACTGACAAATTTGCACCCACTGTCTTCTTTCTCTTCAGTTTTTGCTGTATAGGGTGCATGCACTTGCCAAAGAGAGAGAGAAAGTGAGAAATCACCTTCCAAGGGGGATAGCCATGCTGCAATCTCTTCTCCATTCTCCTCTTGGGATTTTTTGGGCACACACGTGCATCTGACATGTTTTCCAAGCCACTGGGTCCAGGACTTGAACCTGGATGGCCCCTTGCTGTCTTCCAAGGCAGGTGGATCCTGGGCCCTCAGCTCATGTAGAGATGCTGAACATAGGAAGAGTATGGTTGTGCATGTTGGAAGCTGGAAATCTGAGGCAGAGCTGAATGATCATGCTTAATAAAACAGAGACATGGTTGGGTGCCCAGCGAAGAGCCTGAGCTGAAGACAGAGCCAGGAAACTGATCACTGCATAAGAGAATGTCCAAAAGAGAAAGAGAAGGTTGAGGTGGTTAGGAGAGGAAAGACATCAAGAAGAATTTCAAGTTGACGGCTATAGGTAATGTATGATATAAACCCTTCCCTACCACCTCCCCTCCCCAGTGGGATTTTCTGTTCATTATCCTTTGTTTAGTCATGTATTTGAGCAAATACCTCTTGGGCAAAGGGGCTTGAAGAGGAGAATGAGAAACAATTATCTCTAGATCATAAAAAATATATATTTTTTAATTTTTACATTTTTAAGTGAATATTTCAGCTTTAGCTCTCTCATTCATTCCATCACATTAAAATATCTCCTAAGATTTTCTTTGCCCTTGGGCACTTCCTGTCTGAGTGAAGTACTTCAGGTGAGTTTGCTGCAGTAAAATTGGTGGTGGGGCCAGCCGGTGGCATGTTGGTCAAGGTGCCAAAATGGCATGTGGTTGACCCTACTCACGTCCTTCCAAGGGGGATAGCCATGCTGCAATCTCTTCTCCATTCTCCTCTTGGGATTTTTTGGGCACACACGTGCATCTGACATGTTTTCCAAGCCACTGGGTCCAGGACTTGAACCTGGATGGCCCCTTGCTGTCTTCCAAGGCAGGTGGATCCTGGGCCCTCAGCTCATGTAGAGATGCTGAACATAGGAAGAGTATGGTTGTGCATGTTGGAAGCTGGAAATCTGAGGCAGAGCTGAATGATCATGCTTAATAAAACAGAGACATGGTTGGGTGCCCAGCGAAGAGCCTGAGCTGAAGACAGAGCCAGGAAACTGATCACTGCATAAGAGAATGTCCAAAAGAGAAAGAGAAGGTTGAGGTGGTTAGGAGAGGAAAGACATCAAGAAGAATTTCAAGTTGACGGCTATAGGTAATGTATGATATAAACCCTTCCCTACCACCTCCCCTCCCCAGTGGGATTTTCTGTTCATTATCCTTTGTTTAGTCATGTATTTGAGCAAATACCTCTTGGGCAAAGGGGCTTGAAGAGGAGAATGAGAAACAATTATCTCTAGATCATAAAAAATATATATTTTTTAATTTTTACATTTTTAAGTGAATATTTCAGCTTTAGCTCTCTCATTCATTCCATCACATTAAAATATCTCCTAAGATTTTCTTTGCCCTTGGGCACTTCCTGTCTGAGTGAAGTACTTCAGGTGAGTTTGCTGCAGTAAAATTGGTGGTGGGGCCAGCCGGTGGCATGTTGGTCAAGGTGCCAAAATGGCATGTGGTTGACCCTACTCACGTCCTGGACCTGGTAACTTGAAAATCATGCTAGGGATATTTGCATGTGTGCCCATGTGTGCCCAAAATCCCAAGAGGAGAATGGAAGAGAAGGGATTTTGGTGTGGCCATTCCCCCTGGGGGGGGGGTGATTTCTCACTTTGCCTCTCTCTCATTCTCTCACTCTCTGTCTCTCTCTCTAGCCAGTGCACATGCCCCATGGCATAAAACAAACAAACAAAAAGAAACAAATGGTGGGGGGAGAGCAATTGGTTAAAGGTAAATTGTTTCATCCTGTTTATTCTCAACCAACTTGTTTTCAGTCAGATCTCAGCTTCCAGTTGGCCACTGGGATTGGTGCTAGAGCCTGACACCTTAACACATTTAGTGACATCAAAGCTTTGGTCACAACCCCCCTTCAATCTAGCCGAACCAGCTTTCTGGAGTTGAGTCAATAGAGCAACCATGGGAAGGAGCAGCTTTCCATTCTGTCATGTGTGGCAAGTCCATGTGCTTTCCTGAATTCCTGGGTCCCCTGCAATCGAGCTGACGGGCCCAGGCCCTTGTTGGGCCTGATATTATTGCATTGCCGTCTGCTGTTATTTCAATGGGCTAATCCAATAATGTTTTATCTTTTTCATTATACTGAGGCTGTATAATTTTCTCGAATTATAATCTATCTTCTTTTAAGATCCCCCAGAGACAGGGAAGAGCCATTCTGTCTTTGGCTGATGGGAGGCTCCCATGAAGCCGACACGAGCACATTGAAGAGAGCACCGCCAAATTAAATTCTGAATCTCAATCACAGCCACAGCTTCTAATGGGAAATTCGAGTTGATTATGGAGATGACAGCCCAGGTTCACGTTTATTGCATTTAGCAGAAATTGTTTATCCTATTAAATATAGTCTTGAAGGAGAGACAATTGAATTTTGGAGCACCGGTGAATACCCGGGTGACGCCCAGGCTCTGCTAAACTGTGTAATAATTATATTCTTATTTGTGGACTGAACTTCCCCTTGTGGCTCTTTTTTGCAAACAAATGCATTTAGGAGGAGGCTGAAACATAATGTAAGAATTAAACAAAATAAACGCAAACTGTGCTTTTGGAAAATCTTGGCAACTGTCGCTTACACTGGGGTACCCATGTAGGAGCTGTGGTATCCGAGGGGCAGGGTCCAGACAGTATAGTTTGGCAGTGATCCTGGAAGCTGGAACAGAGTACAAGCTACCTGGATGGGGCAGATTTTTGTTTCCAAGAGAGGAATCTTTGAAATGCCACGGGCTCCTCCATGTGCTTAATGTCAGAGTGGAGGGCTCCGTTGGACTAATATCACAACTTCTGTGGGAATAATAATTATTCTAATTAGCTGAACAATCGTCATAATAATAATAGCTGCCAGGTATAGAGTGCTTTCCAATTTATGAAGTCTTTTAACCTACATTATCTCATTTAATCTTTGTCTGAATTTGAGGGACTAGAATTACTGAAATCACCAGATGACAAGTAGAGAAATCTTCATGTGGAAACTGAATACATATAACTAATGGGACATCTATGGAACATCTATGGAAATCAAATTGGGATGCAGAGGCCAGGAGAAAAGCAACTGCTGCCGAGAATCCAGACAGAGGGAAAAGCCATCTCTGTCTTACAGAAGAGGACTCTGTCCCACTTCCAGACACTTAAAAGAAGTTCTCAGAAGAGATTGGTCCTGGTGCCCAAAGTTCTTGCGATATCCCTTGGGACTTTCGTTATTAGCACCCTGGTGGAGAAACTCCCTGGCCATAGGATCTCGCACACAGCAGCCCCCTACTCTCCTGCCAAAGCCAATTGCCAACTCATCTTCCATGTCTCAACTTGTCTCTTCTTACAGAAAGCCTTCCCTGATCTCAGCAGGTTAGGATAGTTGTCTATTTTCTCTGTTCCCATTTCAATCGTTGCTTTCTCTGTTATAATATTCCTCACACTGTACAGTGTTCATAAAGTCTGGAAACATAGATAATATTTTGTTTTGCATATTAAAGATATCCCTAATAACATTATATCTACTCACCGGTGTTTCCAGGCTTTGCAGACATTGTATTACAATATTTTTCATTTATTGTCTCTTATTTCTTCTCAAAGAGAATAGCCATAAAAGCGGGGGCAATGTCTGTCTACTGCACTAATATATTCCAAGTAGCGAGTATAGTGCCTGGGATATAAGTGAGCCATCAATAAATAACCATTGCATGAATTAATAAGTTAGTGGAAAGAGATGAATGGGACCAAGAGAAGAAACTTCCCATACGAGTCAGAAACTTTAGTGAATTGGTGGCATGTGAGGGTGGCATCATGAGACTTGGGGCATAGCAACCCCCAAAATAGGGACAACCCCCACAGCTATGAAGAGAAGGCAGTTCCAGTTCCATGGGTACCATTGCACAAGAAAAGTGAAATGACAGAGGAGGAAAGAGAGCTGATGTCAGGAAGTGGCTGGTAGAGCTAGGTAGGAGCAGTGGTGTGACATCCCCTAGGGATAGACAGGAATCTCCAGGGAAACTTTACCAAAAAAAGGAAGAGAAAATCCTTCAGTGACTGGTGGGGTGAACCTGAGAAGCACATTAAAAGGCTTATGGGAAACCAGACTCACAAGATTGTAAAATACCTGACCAGTATGAAGCAGAGGTAAGAAGGAGTAATGTGTGTGTTTTTTGTTTTTTGTCTCCTAACATTTTGCCTTAACCTCAGTTTTCTCATGTCTAGATTACTTTCGAACCTGGAATGCTGATCTAAATCCTAAGAGCAAAGTACTGAAATAGTATATCAGGGTTTTGAGATTCTCTGTTGAATGGTATCATGAAATCAGATTTTTCTATACAGTGTTTTCTTCTTTAAGTTTTCTTTCTGACATGTTAGGCCAGATTCCAGTACAGAGGTATTGAGAATTCAGGGATCTGTTTATGGAGAGATACTGGGAATAATGTCACAATATCTTATGCAGAACTGAAAACACAGCCCAATGAGGGTCTGAGAACATGGTGCTTGGACACGAGTGCTCTGAAAGCAGCTACCCACCCTTGAAGCCTTTCTTGGTGGTTTTATGCAAGTTTTTTTTTTTTTTTTTTTTTTTTTTTTTTTTTTTTTTTTTTTTTTTTTTTTTTTTTTTTTTTTTTTTTACCTGTCTCTGCCTCCATTTTCTCATCAACAAGATGAGAGTAAGGATGGTATCAATCTTCTAAGGATTTCGTGAGTGTTATGTAAATTCCTACCCAGGAAAGCACCCTGGACCTAGTAGGCACTCCATAATTCGCTATGCCATTGCTATCATCACTTCTAACAATTC